GTGATCAACCGGCAGCCATTTTTTATATGTAGGCTATCTATGTATTCATAGCACGTTTTTGTGTGAAAAATATTAATAATATATTTGCAAGGGGTTTCCGTTGCAAAAAGGAAACCTCTTTTTAACCAGTCAGAATCAAGCATTCATCGATGTCTTTGTAGAATACTGTTTACAAACTGAGGAACTTGCAAGAATAATTCTGGATGATGAGCCTCAGAATGTTAAACTTTTATCAACATGTGTAGATATATTTGATATCGAAAGACACTCAGGTGAGATTCTCTCTCTCTCTCTCTCTCTCTCTCTCTCTCTCTCGTACGGAGGTATCTCAGCTGTAACTAGTCACATGTTTCTTCATTCATTGATATATTGTACTTGTTTATCAGCACACGCGTAATGAGGATAAAGTACCTACTCAACCACTCCTCTCCGCTAATGAACTCGGCTATAGTTGGTGGAATTCCAATAAGCAGTATGGATAGAGCATCTGCCCGGAGAGCGGAAGGTCGATGGTTCGATCCCTTTGGCGTCATATTTAAAAAATGGTGCTTGTTGTTAACCTGCCTGCCACTCGGGGATGAAACAAGGAGATGAAACAAAGACTGGTCGGCTCGGAGTCTCTCTCTCTCTCTCTCTCTCTCTCTCTCTCTCTCTCTCTCTCTCTCTCTCTCTCTCTCTCTCTCTCTCTCACACACACACACACACACACACACACACACACACACGTGCATGCACGTCGTTATATAAGGGCAATAATATTGAAAGCGACATTAAATTCCATTTGACTCACTTCCCCCACTGAGCAGGAACAACAATTGTGAACGAGAGCCTAGATTCTCCTTGCACGTGGCATGGTAGCAGCATGTTTAGCAAACGATTTCTTCCATTTGTAAAAAACAAGAACACAATGTTCTGGCACAATCCTTTTGATTTGGGTGATCCGATTAGGGCGCGGGATGTGCTGGTGAGTCGTGTGACCACTAGTTGTTTGTCTTGTCAGGCCCATCTTCCCGGGACTAGAGAGTAAACTGACTACCTAAGTCCAGTTTCCAGCCTTGGCGAACTAGGTTGGAATTATGGAGTTATGTTTTGGCTGGACTAACGAGTCCACGCATAGTCCAATCAAAATTGCGCAACGAAATTGGCATCTGGTTTGTAAACTGTCGTGCAGTTTTCGGTCGATTGCTGGATTTGCAAAGCATGTGTACCGAATTCGTAGCCTCAACAGATATCTTCCAAATTTTTTCATGTTTTTAATCAAGGTGCTAACGTGATTTGATGCACTTCACGAAGTAAGACCTGTTTGATTACAATATAGATCTTGATCATCGACCAGATTGTCTTCACTGGGCGACGTCATTTTATTTGAAGCAAATGCAAGTGATATGAGAGGTGAAATCTCATTGGTCAATAGGAGGGACATAGAAGGGACATAACTCGTAATAGCCACTGGTTTCGCTACGATCGAGCCCAGAAATTCCAGCCAAGTTCGGCAAGGGTGGAAAATGAACTTTTACAGTCAGTTAACTCCCCTATATCGGGAATGTGGGTCAGGCCCCGGTTATTTACAGACAGCTGTCATAGAGCATGGATATTGCTAACTGTGGCGTTAAACAACATGCGCTCACTTCAGCGTTATTGTATGACTGGAGGAAAACAATCTCATTAAAATCAGATCTTAGTTCTCGCTACCGCTAAACAAAGATCTGAGGACATCCCATTAGGGGTCACGTCAGAACGACCTTTCATCCGACCAATCAGAGCGTCGCTTACCAGATCATGAAAGTGACAGTCGGAATGTGATTTGTAATCATGCAGCCTCGAAAACTTTAAAACGGGGTATTCCGAACGATAGTTACGGGCTTAACGACTGAATCTATACAATCTAGACCATATATTAGCCATCCGAGATTATTCTTTTGTTCAGGTTTCAAATTTTTAAGCGAGAATTTGTCAACATATGTTTCGAAGCGTAGTCGCAAATTTGAAATGAGTGCCGTAAAGCACGAGAAAGCTGCTTTCTGATTGGCTAATGTCGACTTCTTGGCAGTAATTCCATTGGTCGGTCAGAGTTTGCGAAAGGTTGGTCTGACGTGACCCGTAATGGAATGTCCTCAGATCTTTGTTTAGCTGCAGCGAGAACTAAGATCTGATTTTAATGAGATTGGGAGGAAAAGAAAGAGTGAGTTTAACGCACATTGGAACAGTGTGTCAGTTATACCATGGCGTGCCCCTTATGTGGCAAGGTAAGACCGAGGCAATGCAGGTGTTATGGTGGAGACGCTGCTGTATATGTTCATTCAATATATTAACAACAGATGATCATATCTGGGTGAGCGAGTGAATGCTGTTTAACGCCGCAGTCAGCAATATTCCATCTATATCCCGGCGGCGTGTCATTACGCGAGTCTGACCCACACAAACCAGCAACTGAAAGCCTTAGTAAGGACATCGGGCAACGATGACATGCAGTCAGCATAATCGCAGTCCAACGATCATTTTTAGTCAACTCCCACAAGCAGAGGTTAGAGCCGATCAAAATGATTTAGTTATGTTTGCGAACGTTTTCATTACATATTGTGTATAACATACACACATCCGCACACGCACGGCGATAACGCACACGCACGCACACGCACACGCACGCACACGCACACACACACACAAACACATACACACACACACATATTTGGTAGGCAATTAATTACGTTATTGTTTGAATCTTCAATCAAGACGTCCTACCATGCAGATTTGTTTGGACAGCATTGTTAATAACAACAACTGCGATGTCAGTAGTGTCAAGCACGTAGAGTATGGCCTTACCGGCGATGGGGAACTATTTGGCTCAGTGACTAGTCAAGATTTATGCTGCATCGAGCTGATGGTAAAACCAGGGTTTACCGACGTCCACATGAACGTTTCTCCACACGGGAGGTCGACACATTTGGCAGTGGCAGCATAATTATGTGGGCGGTTAACTCCTAAACTGGAGGTCAGAAACAGGCAACTTGACTTACTAGTGATGAAATCCTACAACAGCACGTTGTTTTCATTAAAAGCCATGCAAACGCAAACGCAACAACGTTAGACCGCATATAGCATGTGTAACACTGAGTAGCAACCGCAATGTACAGGCTCTCTAAATCGCCAGGTTTGAACCGATAGAACACCCGTTAGGCGAGCTGGATCGCCGCGTACGACAGCCTCATCCTGGACCACAGACAACAGCCTGCAGATGCACTGGTACTACAGGCCGAATGGGATAACACGAGATATTGAATTCTCGTGCCAACGGTTACCTTTTTTACACTTATCAAGTGTTCAGATATGAAATATGTGTGTCACTTCCCACACCAAACACCGGGTTATGCGTTTCTTCTTTTGAGGAGTATAGTTGCAGTTTCAAGCACAACGGAATTATCTCCCTTTCTATTTCACTCTGTCGTGATGTTCATCCTTGAATTTCCTGTACCAAAGCGAGAAGAATTATTACCCTCAACACATATCCGAACAACACCATTGTTTCGAGCGGACACAGCAAGTAAACTTGTCAGTGAAGACGTGTCCAGCATAATCGAAGGAATAAAACAAGTGCTGCTGGGGTCAACTGCAACTGGTGTATGTTAAAAATTAATTAACAACATTTATCTCGAGTTTTATGTTTTGGGGATTTTTTAGTTGTGCCGTTCTGGGCTCCCTGTACTAACACCAACTGGTACATTCACGACACATCACCGCTCTCCCCTTGCATGCGATTTGTCTTACCTCGAAGTAATCAATATTCCAGCTATATCACGCCGACCTATAAATAATCGAGTCTGGGCAAACGTAAGATAGGGTACGCTGACATGTGGCAACATGTAACCTTCCGATCCCCATTATCGGCTCTAACAAGCGCGGGATACTGGGAACCTATTCTGTCAATCCCAATAGGGAGCCTTAAGCATGGACACAGAGCCACGGTTTTGACTGATTTGTGAGAGATTACATATTACATATACCTTGTGTGTGAGTGAGTGAGTTGAGTTTAACAACGCTTTTAACAGTATTCCAGATATATCGCGGTGTGTCAGCCTAATATGGGATGAAAGCCCAAGTGATGCAGGTCTTAGACGTTTACCACTTCGGTGAAATCCACGAGCACGGGTATGGCACTGAAAATGTAGAAACTTAATGGGGGCGAACCGGGATTCGAACCCGAAATCATGGTTTTCTGACGTGCTCAAGGGACGCCACTCTGCACAGCGAATGGTGGCGCCTGAGACGACTGGGTCATCCGTGCCCCGACATATCACTTGCGAACACGACGGGTAGAAACCAGGTTGAGACGTTTTCATGAGTCTTAATATGTTCATCTCATCGATGGTATTATTTAAAGAGAGACAAGAGTATCCTTAAAACGTTTTCATACGAATGAAACGTTACAGTTTCAGGTAGTATATTCTTTATTGAGAAGACGCTTTGAAAAAAGTGGCGACCGTGTTATCCTATTTGGAAAATAACCATCTTGAACAGATTAATACCGCGAGCCCTCTAAACTTGCATTAATATTTTATTGTTTCAATGACGAAAATATTTGGTATATTCTGAATGCGTCCGGTCCGTTTTGACGAGAAAATATCACAATATATGTCTATATGCCATTATCGTGCCCAGTGCGACTATCTCGAGCGTCAACCAGAAAGGCAACCTGGAACATACGGTCTGCTGAACGGAGGTTCGTGAAAACAGAAAAAGCGGGATAGTCGCCGTCACCAGCTATTATATGTAACTATTATGGGTTAGACAGTTGATAGGGCATTGGCGACGTTTCACCTGACAACAGATCAGGATACTGGGATTGGAAGCCTGACAGAAGGTATTTGACGATACTTCAGCCAACTTCTCTTGATCTTCATCAATAGGTGCAGGTTATTTTACGGCCTCTTCCATAAGCTGGGACACATATTTTCAGAATGCATTATGAATGAGCAGCTAAACACAAACAAGACATGAGGACATTTAATATTTTGCATTAAATTTATTCACAATTTAAGAATGAGTTTATCATGCAGCTTACAAGTTGCATACTAGGAGAAGCAAGATGAAGCAGCACACCGAGACTGGGTGGACAAAGGACAGACATTCTACACACAATGCTTTCACCCTCCTCTAGCAGGCTCCCACAGATGTACCCTCTCAACACAACGCTTACACTTCACTGTCTTGCACTCTTAACAAAATGCTAACATTAGCATCTTCCTCGCATTCTAAAGACATTCATCAGATTACTGCTCTGCTACATATCTCTTCTACCCCTGTTATGTCTTTGAAGAAGTTTCATCTTACCCACTCCATGCAACCCTGACATCAATGGATCAGGCTCAATGGTGCCTTCAGTCTTGCCATCTACAGGCATCCAAACATATTCCTACAATACACATGTACCCTGAATCTCCCTTGAGCTAAAAACTGACCTAGCACTCAATACAAAACTTACTTCTACCATAACGAAGCAAATCACAGGTATTTGTTCAATTATATTACATAACAAAGCTTTTATACTCATTATGGCCATTCACTAAAATATCATACTTGAAGAAAATGCTTCTATAATTCGCACACTTTTAGAGAAACACACAATATCTGAATCTTTCCATAGATTCTTGAGTTGCCGAGGAAAGAAATAGTCTGATAAAAACATAATCCATGCTAAGTCACAAGATAAGATCTGATAAGTAACCATAGCTTTAAATTGTCAAGAAAATCTTTATCAAGAAATATTATGATTTACCGGTAAATGTAACATTAGATTCTCACAGTGACCAAGTCCTTATACTGTTTAGAAAGACAACAGCAATATCACAACCAAATGTCACTGGATGAATTCGGGGACATTTTCATTGCAATGTCACAAAGGGAAGCATTGAATATAACTCCACCTTACTTGACCTGTACATGATCAGTTTCTAGAAGATTCGTTAGCCCAATCTCTCCATACGACACTCAACCTCATCATTCCGGTACTTCATTCATATCCAAGTTAGTAATGTGAGCAGGTCGTCTCACTAGACTTCTAACAACGTACTGATTGCGCAGATAGCCGTACTTAAACATTGTCTCGGTAAACATGGGTCACTATTTTGGCATGGTAGTGCACTTAAAATGACATGGAAAAGAAACTTAAATGAAAATATGTTGCTAAAGGGTAAATAATTTGGTGTATACAGAACTGAGGGTAAACAATAGACATATTTCGAGAGTATTGATGTAAGTAAAATGATGGCACTGCAATGAAACATGAGGTGTGTTGAACATGTTGATACATATAGGATGGCCTTTTCATTTTCAACTGTTTTTCCGACATATCTTTTAACCGACTAAATATATATTTATGAAGATATAACATGGAAATGTTCGGAGAGAATAATGTTACTTGTAGGAAAGGTGGACATGTGTAATCAAGGCCGGTATCAATCTCCTTCTTTGGTATGACAAAATATCTTTTGCACATTACAAAAATCTTCCCTAACAAAAACTTAACTGGCTTAAATGTGATATTTGAAAATGAGTGTGAATATGCCCTGAATATTGCAAAAGTTTTTGAAAATACAGCCACAATGCTCTCCAGCTCACCTGGATGATTTTGGAATTTTGGGTCACAAATTGGGTTTAAAAAAATGTCTGAACATGACATCTTCACTGCATGTGTAATTAATTAAACATTTCTGTGAACAATAAAACAAGACACGGACCGTGGGGATCCTAAATGACAAGATTCAGCTGCATGGGCCTTGTGGTTTTAGGGGCAATGGTTTAGGATGGGTAGACCGCACACAACACCATGACACAAGAGCATATGAACGATCAGTTTAGGTGAGCTGAAGGCTGACTTTGGTCAAACATTTGTTTCAGAACTTAACAGATCAACAAGACGTGACGTGACCTGGGGTGAACCAAAAACAATACAGGGTGACTATAAAATGAAGGTTTGTGATGAGGGGATCAAAAACAAAACCAGGTCATTTTTAGCATCTACTCACTAAAAAAATGCCAATACTCGTTAAGCATAAAAATTCTTTATAAAAATATGTTATCTTAATGATCATGTAAGTCAAGTATGAAAACAAGGAACATAAGTTATTTCATCCAAATAAAAGACTAAAACACCACCATGAAACAACTGAATGTGAAACCATAAATGCTATTGAAATGTGTATTCTAACTTATAAAATCTAAAAAGGTCAAGAATATTTTCAGAAAACATTGCTTTTTAATTACACTTGCTTATAGAAAGTATGTGCAGCCAACACTGCATGTGACCATCAATAGGTAACTAAATGGCCACTTACATGGAGAAAGAGACCACTGTCTCTTTATGCAGAGACATAGGTTCAGGTCAATAGTAGCATCATGATTTTCAAGACAGAAAATGTATTCCTTTTTTGTAACTATGCTTAAGCTGAAGGCAAACAGGACAGCATAAATGATGTATCAGAATTAGCTTTACAATGACTTGTACATCAACGACTTACTTTGTGGTAAAAATATAGATTTCAAATTGGCTTGATGGAGGATGATGATAGTGGGATGAATGGCGATGTTCATGAGAATGGTGCTCAGCAGTTGTACTGAGGGAGGTGACACTTCCAACAAAGGAAACAAATAATCACTTATCCATTGTCTGGACAGATTGTACACTATAGATTCATACAAAAATATCACCGAATCATTAACTGTTTGGATTCTATTCCAAGATAACATGATTAATGACATCCGTACTGACAGCCCCCAAAACAAATTCTGAAAAAGAATCCTGAGTTGACCATTTTGTCCTATTTAGCACCATGCCCACTGGGCCTAGCATGGTCAAATAGGTCCCATCCCAACATAGCCACTTTCAACACCAACACTAATAAGCAACAGTTTATCACAAATCACTTGTCTGGTGTGCAATTTGTCCACATATATTCAATAGTTCCATTAGTCAATCATGGTGCCGTCATATTTCAGCTGCCATTGTGGCAAATCTCTCCAACAAGAATTGCATGTTACACTGCATGACCAAGGATTTCACAGCAATCAGCACAGTTAACATACACAGCTGGGTTTGGTTTTCCCTCTCACAAATCCATTCTCACACATATCCCAAAAGAGGCAAAACTGCTGAGCACTGTCAATTAATGAGAAATGATCAGGATACAACAGTTAATTCTGAGTAAATCATGATATTGCACTATCATTACAGTCTATACAAATGATTTTCCACAGGGCTACCGACCCACATCCAACATGGGCAGCAGGAGGACAGCTCTATACACACCATCAGATTATGTCACAAGGATGCAACTGTTGAAACAAATACTACAATATTCCTGCCCTCCAGAGCATCACGTGAAGATACAAACACAGTGTAAAATTCAACAGTTTGGCACTGCCGAGTGCTGGCTATAAATATAGTACAAATGCTCGTGCTCTGGAGTCAACAATACTTTAAACAATAGTTTATCATATTTCACATATATCATACAGTTCAATAGATAATAAACAACAATAAAATCTGTTGTCAGCATGATCTGCTGAATAATACATGTGCACATATGCACCATCTTAACACTGTACAAGTTGAACATTATACAATATCTGCATATATTATTATATCTGAGATGGTAGTCCATTCCTACCAGATCCAAGTGGAGGCGTACTGGGCAATGCCAAGTTGGCAGCAAGTGAGGGAGCGAGCTTCATGACAAGTATCTCAAAGACAAGAAAGATCGTGGGCCGTCGTGAAGCTGCACTGACCAAGCTTCTATAGGCACAGGTGTTCGGACATCTTTGCATGCCCTCAATGTCATTTATCATTGCAAGGCCATGCCCTTAACGTCATTATCATAACATCATTTCATCAAGACTCTTAGAAATGAATGGTCATGTCCTCAACGTCAATCATAGTGTGGTCCAGCTTTCAATATCACTGTCGGTCTTGTTCTCAGCCACACCAATACATAGGTGTAAGAAGTCGTTTCACTCCTAACAGCACACCACATCCTGACTTCAGCTATGTATTGCCATTGATTTATACACAGTAGTATCACATTGCCACATGGTCTGCTGGGCGTGGCCAGCATGGTTGAGGAGGCGCTTCCATGGGATGCAGCACAGCAGCAGTATGGGACTTCTATTGCCTGGCAACGTATGAGTGTACTCCTTGCATGAAGTACTGTGTGTATGTGACTGGAAGGGGACAAGGCATCTCATAGTGAGGCAGACAGAGTGGAGCTTCAGTCAGCTTCTCCTCAGGGTTAGTTCTGGATATTGGTCTCTGTCCATCAAGGCAATGATTCTTGAGCAGCTGAAACAGAAAAGACACTGAATTAAACCTCCACAACGTTTTGTCAGGCCACATGAGTGAGTGAGTGAGTGAGTGAGTGAGTGAGTGAGTTGGATTTAACGCCGCTTTTAACAGTATTCCAGTTATATTACGGCGTGTCAGCTTAATGTGGGAGGAAAGCCCGAAGTGATGCAGGTCTAAGACGTTTACCACTTCGGTGAAACCCACGAGCACGGGTATGGTGCTGACAAACCTAGAAACATAATTGGGGGGAACCGAGATTCGAACCCACAATCATAGGTTTCTGGCGTGCCCAAGGGACGCAACTCTGCACAGCGAATCGCGGCACCTTAGACGACTGGGCCACCCGTGCCCCCTCAGGCCACATGAAATCAGACAAGTGTCTTAAACATCAACAAGAGTTTGCCACTAACATGGCTATATCCCCCGCCCCTGTTGCAGAATTTACGACATAATTAAATCTAAACAAACCCTAACCTTTTTTAACCGAGGTGGAACTTGTCATGGAAATTGTAAAAAAAAAGAAGAGTTTGGAAACTAAGTGCCATGGAAAAAAATAAAATTTTCTAAAATTTCTAAAAAGCAAAAGGCACCAGTTCAGCATGTACCTGACAGACCTGCAAAGTTTGATAAAAAAATATTGAACGGTTTATGAGTTATGCTCCGGAAACGAACCCTACCCTAACAGAACCTAAGTCCATCTTGTTGCCATGGAAACGTAACAACATAAAAATTTCTCAAATTTCTAAAAAGCAAAAGGCACCAGTTCAGCATGTACCTGACAGACCTGCAAAGTTTGATGAAAAAATATTGAACGGTTTATGAGTTTTATGCTCCGGAAACGAACCCCACCCTCACAGAACCTAAGTCCATCTTGTTGCCATGGAAACGTAAAAAATAAAAAAAATAAAAATTTCTAAATAGCAAAAGGCACCAGTTCAGCATGTACCTGACAGACCTGCAAAGTTTCATGAAAACATATTCAACAGTTTATGAGTTTTATGCTCCGGAAACGAACCCTACCCTCACAGAACCTAAGTCCATCTTGTTGCCATGGAAATGTAAAAAATAAAAATTTCTAAAATTTCTCAATAGCAAAAGGCACAAGTTCAGCATGTACCTGACAGACCTGCAAAGTTTCATGAAAAGATATTGAACGGTGTATGAGTTATGCTCCGGAAACGAAACGTGACGGACGGACGGACGGAGCCCGTTTCTACATCCCCCGCCAACTTTGTTGGGCGGGGGATAAAAAAAAAGGGGAAAGTCATTGATATCCCCCACAGTAGGAAATACTTGCTGTGAATTTGTCAACTAGTTATACTGATCACATAACTAAGTCAAAGTCGTTGCTGTGGAAAATTTATTTTTTCTAATCCCAAATTACCAAAAGGCACCAGTTCACCACTAGTCCATCAATGTGCCAAGTTAATACGTTTTTCAAGATCTGCTCTGGAAACGACATCTTGCACACAGTGTCCATTTTAATAGCCTCCCCCCTTGCTGGGGATAACTAACTAATATGGTATTGTTAGTTAGTTATTTGACAAACAACTAAAAGATGTGTTTTAACTTTGAATATGAAATAGATCAATGTTAAAAAATCATATCAACCTAAGTTTTTAGTGGAGGAAAAGTATGAAATATGCCTTGATCCTTAACTATCTACGAACATAAAAGTCTGATCAATCAAGAGGAGTGATTTAAATAGTGCTTCAGTAATGATGCAGATGAGCACTGACCTCTAGTTTTATTTGCAGATTCTATAATTTGCATGAGGCAGCGTCCAAACTCCTCAATGACCATCCTCTCCTGAACAACTGGGGGCATCTTCATCCGTTCCGCTTCCTCCGCCTGGGCCAGGAGACATGCACACGTGGCCTCTGCAACCTCTGTCGTGATCAATGTGTACGGCAACCTGGACACACAAAACAATTCTGGATATAACACTGATAAATCTGTGTTGCTATGTGAAGAAATGAAGACAAATTACTCTGTAAATATATATCTTTGCAGCACATTCTAAACATTAAACAAAATTAAGCTCTAAAAAGATGCCACATGTCGATGTTTTAAAACAAAATTTCAAGAGTACTTTATGAAAGTCAGCATCAGACGACTTCCTTGTTCAGAAGCTAAACCTAGATGTGGAACAGATACTGTAAATCGTGAAATTAATGCGTCTCCAAAAGAATGTGACCGCTGGCCCCTAGCCAAAAATGTGACTCAACATGAATGCGACACCCCCTCCTCTCAAGCATCAGTGGATTTATATCTAAAGAAAATGTCCTCTGTCAGGTTTACAGGAGAATCCTCACCCTCATCCAAACCTTACATCAATCCAATCATACACCAAATAGCACCGCTTATTAGCGCTGATTAGAGTACTTCCACTCAAACAATACATGCATGCTGGCTCGTGTCAGCCTTTGACGCAGTAGCAAAGAACAAAGACACCGTGTTGTGTTGGTGGCGTGTGTCTGGACTTGCAGGTGTGATCAGTGATGACCAAAGTAAGTAGAACTCTTGTCTTGACCGCAGCAGTGACAATTCACAGGATGTAATTAGTGTTTGAATGACATTGTTTATATACTTGTTACAAGTGCTGCTCAATAAACAGTGATGTGGAACACATAGTTGTTTGTTTTCTGTGTATGTCTTAGTTGGTATTTCTGCTATCCAAAATGTCTTATTGTTGATATAAATGCGATGTTTTATAATGCGAGCAAAGACCAGTCGCATTTTTTTGCATTTAATTCACGCTCGCGTTAATTTCAAGATTTACAGTAGTCACTGACAAGCACACACTCTTGTAAATGTTTATTCATGCTCAGTAAGATGACGGTGGCCTACAGATAATCTGCTCCAGACAAACCAGTGATTGAAATAATGAGCCAAGTGCCATCGGGTCCTTATCCATAGCCACAGTCACCGGCCCTTATGACAATCATAGGTTGCATGGGGCATATTCAAAACCCAGAACCTCCACAGGGCTGCATCCAGAACAGGTGCTACGTGAGTCAAGATGTGTGGTTTCCTACCTCTCCCCACTGGCTGATGACAGCGGCGGTTTAGATGGAAGGCCGGACATCTGGGAAGACAGTTTAGTTTTAGCTGCTGTCTGCTGCTGCACTCGAACCTCCGCTGCATCAGCAAGGTGCATCAGTGTCTTCCTCTCCGGGCTCTCCTCAAAGTTTTTACAACCAACACACTTGCATATACTGGAGCACATAATCTTAGCCTGGAATCAAAGTAATCATTGTTACAGAAACAATAAAAACATGAGATGAAGGATTCTTCCCCTTCCTAAGACAACCATTATCACTTTTCACATGGAATTTAATCACATTTGCATGCAGACAAAAAAATTCACAAACCATCAAATACATTTGTCTCCAATAACGATCCAAAGAATTAATGAATAATCATTATTTCCTCCCTTAGTATGGAAATTAATTAATCAGTCTGCATATGCATGACAACAGATATGTATATAATCAGGTCACAGATAGAGAATAGACGTCAGCTGCCATGAGGTTATTTCTTTGTTGACGTTGCTTATGAATTGAGCCCATGTGTCTGGTGTCATCTCCTCTACAAGATGCGTAATGCCACCAAGTAAAGTCACATCTCTCACTTCGTTGTCTATACAATCTTCTATTTTAAGATATTGGTTAAGGCACAGTAAATCAAAAAGTTTCTCATAGAGGTTATTTCTTTCCTGCACCAGACTGTCACAGTTTACTAACTGGTGAAGTACAACATCGTTACATTCTTCTTCACACATCATACATATACCAGTCGTTGTAGGTAAAACACCTAGTTTAACTAGAGCATATATTGGCCTGGTATTCATATTGTAAAGGTCACACATATTCCACAATCTGTGTGGAGCTAGTCTTTTATATATCATATTGAATGGTGGATAACATGCTTTTGAAACTGTCAGTCCTGGTGGACTGGCAACTCTAAAAATTATCAGTCCCCCCTTATTTTTCAGTCCAAAATCAACAAATAAAAAAAAAACGTATGACAATTATCTGGTTTTAATTCCTTCAACATCATGTTTAATGCAATGACGTCATCTCTGCAGTAACATAATTAGATCTACACGTCATTCACACAAAGTTCAGTCACAATTTTCACCTTCTTCTGAATATTTCAAGACTAAGTCGTTACAAATATATATATATCACCTCGAAGCAAAGCGAAATGTTATTTCCTTGCCCTTAAAGTAGACGATGGGAAACCCTGATGGTAAGAGACAAGCTGACTTAATTTGAAAAATATACTTTTGTGAATATCGCCGATGTTTTGTTCAACAACAAATGTTTATAAGGTACTATATTTGCCGGTCCAAAGAGACTTGCAGTCACATGAAATACCAGTCCAAGCCTAACTTTACCGGTAAATACTGGTAATTACTGGTAAATGGGAACATTGGGTTAGGCAGTAAATGAAAGAAACTAGCACAAAAACAATCGAAGACAATATGCCATCTCCAACCTTACCTCGTAACATTCACAATAATTCTTCAGACATCCAGATCTCTTACAGTTACAGCCTTTATTGTGCCGCCTATCACCATCTACTTTGGCTATAAAAAAGACAATTAAATGCTTGACAACTGGCAATGAACTTTCATTATAATAGGCAACATTACCTCAGTGCTACATGATTCCATTCCAGCTACTGGGTAGTTGACTTCACCAAACCTACTCTTATAACAAACTTCTGAGAGAAGGAGTTATTTTGTTGGAAGTTAAAAGCAATGAAAGAATACTAAGACTGGACAAAAACACAATGATCATGGTGAAACTTGTCCTACAACAACTTGCATACGAAGTGTCATACGAAACAAATTCATACATTTGCAGAAATTTTCCACCTAGGAAGATTATTTCCTGGTTAGTGCAAGCTTAAGGACATGTTCTTAAACACCGACTTTCGTTTCCAAACATTGTAATTAGCTGCGGCCCTTGCGACAAGCATGAAAGCACTGCCCTGCCCCGTAATCAGATGCAGCCCTTGCAACAAGCGCAGAAGCAGGGTGCTGTCGTGTAATCATCTGTGGCCCTTGTTGCAAGCATGGAAGCCGTGGACCTGCGCTGTAATGAGCTGTGGCCCTTGTGACAAGCATAGAACCACTGCCCTGTAATCAGCTGCAGCCCTTGCGACAAGCATAGAACCACTGCCCTGTAATCAGCTGCAGCCCTTGCAACAAGCGCAGAAGCAGGGCACTGCCCTGTTATCAGCTGCGGCCCTTGCAACAAGCACGGAAACAGGGTGCTGTCGTGTAATCATCTGTGGCCCTTGAGACAAGCATGGAAGCCGTCAATCTGCCCTGTAATCAGCTGTGGCCCTTGCAACAAGCATGGAAGCACGGCCATGCCCTGTTATCAGCTGCGGCCCTTGTGACAAGCATGGAAGCACGGCCATGCCCTGTTATCAGCTGCGGCCCTAGTGACAAGCATGGAAGCACGGCCATGCCCTGTAATCAGCTGCAGCCCTTGTGACAAGCATGGAAGCATAGCCCTGCCCTGTTATCAGCTGCGGCCCAAGAGACAAGCATGGAAGCACGGCCCTGCCCTGTAATCAGCTGCGGCCCTTGTGACAAGCATGGAAGCACAGCCATGCCCTGTTATCAGCTGCTGCCCAAGAGACAAGCATGGAAGCACGGCCCTGCCCTGTAATCAGCTGCGGCCCTTGTGACAAGCATGGAAGCACGGCCATGCCCTGTTATCAGCTGCTGCCCAAGAGACAAGCATGGAAGCACGGCCATGCCCTGTAATCAGCTGCTGCCCAAGAGACAAGCATGGAAGCACGGCCATGCCCTGTTATCAGCTGCTGCCCAAGAGACAAGCATGGAAGCACGGCCCTGCCCTGTTATCAGCTGCGGCCCAAGAGACAAGCATGGAAGCACGGCCATGCCCTGTAATCAGCTGCGGCCCAAGAGACAAGCATGGAAGCACGGCCCTGCCCTGTTATCAGCTGCTGCTCAAGAGACAAGAATGGAAGCACGGCCCTGCCCTGTAATCATCTGGGGCCCTTGTGTTGTATGCCACCACACAAAAAACTACATCCACTTACATGTTTTTCCTATTTTTGGATGAAAAGCCATGGGGTTTCTATCAAGACAAGACTTGATTGCTCGAGAACGTTCCTCTTCATGCTCTAGGTTGTTGGCACAATTTGTACAGTTGCAGTTGTGACAGAATTCACCATTTGCAAAACAATCACAGTATCTGTGGACAAGAGAGGACCAGTCAGACATCGAGATGGAACAACAGGAACCTACACTTCCAACAGTAGTCCTACTTTAATCATTCTCATTAACAACAGACAAATAGACACTCAGGGTGACATACTCTTATTTAACTCTTTATTAGAATTTCATTCTTTAATGCCGGACTCAGCAATATTCCAGCCATGTGACGGTGGTGTGTGGATGTTATGAGCTACATACAACGCTGTCATGATGACATGCAATCAACCACGGCACAGAGACTGAACACGGGACCCATTGATGATCTTACAACAAGCATAGTTTGTTTGTTGTTTAATGCCGCACTCAGCAATATTTGAGCTATATGACTGTGGTCTGTAAATAATCAAACTGGACCAGACAATCCAGTGATTGACATCATGAGCATCAATCCACGCAATTGGGATACAATGACATGCAACAACCAAGTCAGGGAGTCTGACCACCCGATCCTGTTAGTCACCTCTTAGACAAGCATAGTCACTTTTTACAGCAAGCATGGGTTGCTGAAGACCTATTCTACCCCAGCTGTTCACGGGTTAACAACAAGCACAAGTTGCTGGGGACCTTATCTAACCCAGAATCCAAACAGAGTGCTGGATTTAACAGTCAGATACAAAGATAAGTGAAATACTTACAGCTTCAAGCACTGAGATTTTGTACAATTACATGGTTTTCTTGGCCGGGCACCAGTAGCTTCTAGCGTTGTTGTTCTGAAAAGCAAAGACAAAAATGATAAAATATCAATTTCAGTTTAAGTCAAAAGTCGTTGCCATGGAAACACAAAAAATAAAATTTTCAAAAATCTCAAAATATCAAATGGCACCAGTGCACCACTAGACCTATCTATGTGCCAAGTTTGGTTAAGATATCTCATGGTATTGTGTGCTTCTCTGGAAAAGAAACATGATGGACAGCACCCATTCCTATATCCCTCTCCCACTTTGTGGTGAGGGTAATACTACATACTCGTAAACATAGTAAAATGCCCTGTTACTGACCCATTCAGTGAGTTCCTGGCCAGCACAGATGCAGACACAGAGGGATCACTACTGGCTATAGGAATGTAATCTCTCTGCTGCGTTTGCTGGGACTGCTGAGACGCCACCTGTATCGTCTGCTGTGGCTGTTGCTGTTGTTGTTGTTGCTGCTGCTGCTGCTGCTGACTTGACTGGTTAGACTGCTGCATCTGCTTTTGAATCTATAAACAATATGTCAATGTAATGTTCAGATTGAATTCACTTATGTCAATAAAGTCCAGCAACCTAAAACAGGTGTTTCTTGCTGTCAGACCTTAGTACCAAAAGAATCTTAATTGTTGTTAACACCTCACTCACAAATTTCAGCAGTTTTGTAATATTTCATGTCCGAATAAAAATATTTTCTTCATTGCTATCCTGTAAATTTGTGACCGTTGACATGGCCCCGTAGCAGGGAGTAACATCTCACAATGACATAATGCGTGTCAAACATGCTTGCTGCATGCACGACCCCCACCACTGGGCCATATCAACGGTCACAAAATTACATGATAACAATGAAGAAAATATTTTTATCATGTTTATTTGGACATGAAATAATCAAAACTGGCTAGTTAGGTCAATGATTATTTTTAAGATAACCAAGTTTGTTACGTGAGTGTGTGTTTAATGGAAATAATTGTGAAAAAACAGTTGCCAAAATGATGGTTGATGGACTAAAGCAAAGCCCATCTGCCAGGGAACAGGACGAGTCACAAGGTCTCTGATGACATCCTAAGATGTGTAGACTGTACTATGCAAGTGAGTGAGCGAGTTGTGTTTAACGCCGCTTTTAACAGTATTCCAGTTATATCACGGCATGTGAGTTTAATGGGGGAGGGAAGCCCGAAGTGATGCAGATCTCCGATGTTTACCACTTCGCTGAAACCCACAAGCACGGGTAGAGTGCTGACAAACCTAGAAACATAATCAGGGCGAACCGGGATTCGAACACACAATCATAGGTCGCCTTAGACAACTGTGCCACCCGTGCCCATACTATGCAAGTCTCTTTCCTAATGTGCTTAAGTACCAAAGCAATTCACATATTCCATTGCAATTGCATATCTGTGTTTTAACATGGATGAATGAAAGGTGGGTTAGTTTTGACCCCATTTTCTTTTAATGTTAGAAACAAATGGTATCATGAGTACAAGGACCGTAATGTCTCCCTGTCTTAAAATATACTACTCAAGAACACCTAATCTGTCATGGCTGGCAGGCATTTCAACACACAGCTTTCGTGATGTGGCGTTACTTACATTGTCTTGTGTAGTACCGTATTTTCTTGAGTATAGTGCGCACTTTTTCCCCCAAAAACACAGCTATGTAGAAGGGGGTGTGCATTATACACGAAATAATGAGTTTTGATGTTTTTTCCCCCATGGAAAGACATTACCGTGAGCACGTAACACCGGAAATTCCATGTCAACAAATCCATCCTGAAGTTCGGAAATTATTCATGTAATTACACTGTCTGGCTATAAAAGTGTTCTTTGTATATCTGGACTTATGTTTGTAACTTATTTCATTAATTTTATTCAAAATTCCTTTTAATATTATTTTAATTAATTTCGGCGAAATCGTGTGTGAAGCGATCGGAAGATCGCACAACTCACCGTTATTAACAGCAACCACGGTCAGATTACCGCTATTGACGCCTTAAAACGAACTTAAGTTGACAGAGAATGGATACATATATCATAAATGCCATACTTTGATTCGTTAAAAGTCATATTTGTTTATGTTGGACGATTCTATGTCAACACTTAATTCTCGCGATCACGTGCACGGGAGCCTTGACGGTGACTGGTCAGACTGGTTCCATGTAAAAAATAATACCCGGCAATAGCGATCAGCTGCTTCGCTTAGGGTTATTATTATTCTAAATATGTTTAGTAAAAGCTGCATCTAAATTAACAAGATATTGGAATTAGGGTTGGGAATTGGACAAAAAAGTGTATTGCGATATATTGCAATATTTCAAAAACATATTGCAATATTATTGCAATATATTGGGAAATAATTTCTACTAAGAGAAAAGCTTTTTTTCATATCCCTTTGACAAATATTAATATGAAAGCTGCAATGTTAACAATTTGGTCAAAATTATGAACCAATTTTAATAAATTGTACTATTATTTTTATCTACAATCAAATAAAGAGTATGAAGCATTTGTTTTGTCTTTGTTTTGATTTAATAAGGTAAGACTATACAGCATGGCATATACATGTCAGTCACAGTTTGAAAAATGAAGGAAAAACCGATACTCCAAAAACGTATCGCAATACGAATCATGATGAATTTGTACTGCAATATACCGGTATACCGATAAAAGCGCACATCCCTAATTGGAATATATTATTCCTGATAAAAAAATAGTTTCAGATACAACTTTTGCCGATCCTTGCATTAATATCCTGTAAAGTTATATCATTGGGTGTGTCTTGACCGAATCACCGGTAGATTCCAAGAAAACGTGTGTACAGCTGATTGCTGTGTCCGGCTTAGTTTACGAGAAAATACACAAGGTAATTTTAATCCCTGGATATAAAACTATGCCTAGCTGAACAAAAAATACAATTTAAACGGTAAATCAACATGTCTGGTGATTTCTTATCTCAAATTTTGAATTTGTACTGACGAAGTTTCTCATCACACGTTCGTTTGCCGGACTTCGCTGAAGGGGTACGGTGTAATGTTTTTCTGCCCATAATATTCAAATTTCTTTTTTTCCAAAATCTTTAACCCGCTGGAGGGGGGTGCCCATTATACATGGGTGCGCACTATACTCAAGAAAATACGAATATTTACTGGAAGTTGTTACCTTGTCTTGTGTAGTATATTTACTGGAAGTTGTTACCTTGTCTTGTGTAGTATATTTACTGGAAGTTGTTACCTTGTCTTGTGTAGCATATTTACAGGAAGTTGTTACCTTGTCTTGTGTAGCATATTTACTGGAAGTTGTTACCTTGTCTTGTGTAGTATATTTACTGGAAGTTGTTACCTTGTTCTGTGTAGTATATTTACTGGAAGTTGTTACCTTGTCTTGTGTAGCATATTTACAGGAAGTTGTTACCTTGTCTCGTGTAGTATATTTACTGGAAGTTGTTACCTTGTCTTGTGTAGTATATTTACTGGAAATTGTTACCTTGTCTTGTGTAGTATATTTACAGGAAGTTGTTACCTTGTCTTGTGTAGTATATTTACTGGAAGTTGTTACCTTGTCTTGTGTAGTATATTTACTGGAAGTTATTACCTTGTTTTGTGTAGTATATTTACTGGAAGTTGTTACCTTGTCTTGTGTAGTATATTTACTGGAAGTTGTTACCTTGTCTTGTGTAGTATATTTACAGGAAGTTGTTACCTTGTCTTGTGTAGAATATTTACTGGAAGTTGTTACCTTGTCTCGTGTAGTATATTTACTGGAAGTTGTTACCTTGTCTTGTGTAGTATATTTACAGGAAGTTGTTACCTTGTCTTGTGTAGCATATTTACTGGAAGTTGTTACCTTGTCTTGTGTAGTATATTTACTGGAAGTTGTTACCTTGTCTCGTGTAGTATATTTACTGGAAGTTGTTACCTTGTCTCGTGTAGTATATTTACTGGAAGTTGTTACCTTGTCTTGTGTTGTATATTTACTGGAAGTTGTTACCATGTCTTGTGTAGTATATTTACAGGAAGTTGTTACCTTGTCTTGTGTAGTATATTTACTGGAAGTTGTTACCTTGTCTCGTGTAGTATATTTACTGGAAGTTGTTACCTTGTCTCGTGTAGTATATTTACAGGAAGTTGTTACCTTGTCTTGTGTAGTATATTTACAGGAAGTTGTTACCTTGTCTCGTGTAGTATATTTACTGGAAGTTGTTACCTTGTCTCGTGTAGTATATTTACTGGAAGTTGTTACCTTGTCTCGTGTAGTATATTTACAGGAAGTTGTTACCTTGTCTTGTGTAGTATATTTACTGGAAGTTGTTACCTTGTCTTGTGTTGTATATTTACTGGAAGTTGTTACCTTGTCTTGTGTAGTATATTTACTGGAAGTTGTTACCTTGTTTTGTGTAGTATATTTACTGGAAGTTGTTACCTTGTCTTGTGTAGTATATTTACTGGAAGTTGTTACCTTGTTTTGTGTAGTATATTTACTGGAAGTTGTTACCTTGTCTTGTGTAGTATATTTACTGGAAGTTGTTACCTTGTCTTGAGTAGCATATTTAATGGAAGTTGTTACCTTGTCTTGTGTAGCATATTTAATGGAAGTTGTTACCTTGTCTTGTGTAGCATATTTACTGGAAGTTGTTACCTTGTCTTGTGTAGTATATTTACTGGAAGTTGTTACCTTGTCTCGTGTAGTATATTTACTGGAAGTTGTTACCTTGTCTCGTGTAGTATATTTACTGGAAGTTGTTACCTTGTCTTGTGTAGTACATTTACTGGAAGTTGTTACCTTGTCTTGTGTAGTATATTTACAGGAAGTTGTTACCTTGTCTTGTGTAGAATATTTACTGGAAGTTGTTACCTTGTCTCGTGTAGTATATTTACTGGAAGTTGTTACCTTGTCTTGTGTAGTATATTTACAGGAAGTTGTTACCTTGTCTTGTGTAGAATATTTACAGGAAGTTGTTACCTTGTCTCGTGTAGTATATTTACTGGAAGTTGTTACCTTGTCTCGTGTAGTATATTTACAGGAAGTTGTTACCTTTTCTTGTGTAGTATATTTACTGGAAGTTGATTGAACATGATGTCTCACCTGAGTGACATATGTGGCTGGCACAAGGGCAAAGCCTTGTAGTCCCTGTATGTTGGCTCCAGCAGAGAGGATGGTGGCCCCAGATGGCAGGGCTGTCACGCCCCCCTGTGAAGACACCTGGACACTGTGTCGCAGCTGGGACAGGCTCTGGTTTGTTGCTGTCCTTACTGTGTTCACTGTGTTTGGGGCCGGGAGCAGAATACGCTGTACATTTTGAGAACCAGCTGAAACCCCTGACTTGGCTACCTATGGAAATAAGGTGAAGTCATGAATGGAATTCCAACTGTTCAAATGTTCCAACAAAAAGAGTTGGGTAAAGGCCATAAATGGTTTCGTTAAATATAGTTACACAGATTCAAACCTCTTGAATCAATTTAAGTTTCATTGGTCAAATGGTTTACAGTGGTAAGAAATTCATTTGCTGAAAACTTAGGAGCAGGGTCAAATCGCAAAGTTACGAAAAAAAGGGTAAAAAGAAAGACAAGAATGTATAAGTTGAGCCCCCTACTGACTACACATATACTATAGGCTTTGCAACTTGAAATAGATTTACGAAATATCACGATTATTAATTAACAAAGATAGCTGCATGTGTACTAATACTCAAAGTGAAAACAAGCCACTCCTGCGATTAGGAATATTATTTACAGAATGACAAAAAGTGCATTCTTCAAGAAATATATTTGCCAGCAATAACATGACCACTGACTTTTGATCACATGGTTACAATGCAGGCAAGGATCGACAGTCAGGTCACTGCGAGCAGTTATATTCAGCAGTGTGTACATTTCAAACTAGGTTCCTGACAACAAGATTATATGTAGTAGATAGACGCTGCAACCAAGTCTACACATGAGTCAATGAATACATTTGTCATGCACAGCTGCACCAGTAGCTTAAAGCCAGACACCCAAACAGGTTGTTTTGGAAGCTGATACAGAAACTGTGACTTCAGCAATTTCAATTGGATATTGAAATACTTCCTACGCATATCTCTTTCATAAACTGATTTAATGTTTCTTGGAAAATTGATATTTGTAATAATATCACAATCAATTTTTTCATATTACTTGCCCTTTAGACACACTCTGGTGAAAACCACGAGCTCAGATATTGTGACGACAAACCAAGAAACATAATCAGGGAGAACTGGGATCTGAACCCATCTTTGGTTTCTGGCCCGCCTGAAGGACATACATGTTCACAGCGATTTGCGGCAAACTTAACCATCAGTGCCCCCAAGGAATTATGAACATAGACTTCTGTATGAAGAGAGGCATTTGTACCAGTTGTGTTGACTGTACAGGGAGGGTTATCTTCACTTGGGAAGTGCTGGGTTGAGAAGCAGTTGTCAAGGAGGCCGGGGCAATGGGCCGCCCTGTCTGTATCACCTGGGTAACTGTTGTGGAGGGTTTCGACACTGCAACAAGCAAATATACATTTAATGAATAAACAGCTGAATACAAAACATAAAGAACCAGAGGTGCTTAATGCAGTGTGTTTACCGATGTGAATGACACATATTAGGGATCTGTCTCGACCTGCTTAGAGGCCGATATTCAGGCATAAGTTTGCAGCAAATGTCTAAAAAATCCCAAAATGGAATCTTAAAATATTTCCCAATTCATGCTGTTATAGTTGTAACTAATATTATGGTACAGGTGACTTGTATTTAATCGATAGCAGGACCTTTGCAGAGGCTTTAATGCTTAAATTTACATTGCATTGAATACAATGTTAAAATTCAATATTAAAAACAAGTCAAATCATGTTAATCCGATTTGGATGGTTGCATAGGATTATGTCGGATTAACAACTATGTTGGATAAACAAAATTAAGTAGTCGAAAATCAGACAACTACGATACCAACATGTTACAATAAAAAAAGTTTACGAATGGCTGTCCTGACGTGACCAGTAATGGGATGTCCTCGGTGGTAGCGAAAACTTATTACTGATTTTAATGAGACTGAGGTAATCCTGTTTTGTTTAATCAAAGCATTAATTGTGTATTGTCAAGTTTTTCTCTGCAGTCATTGTAATATACAGCTACTAGCCGACTCGTCTCACGTGAAAACACAGGCTGTGTACATGTAGGCAGATGACCATGGAGTACGCTCATCACTGTTGGATTAACAAGGTTGCTTAATGAGTGATTTCGGTAAATTGCTGCATATTAGGTATGTCGGAGTCAGAGTACGAGACTGTCGGATTGATGGGTTTAAATAGCACTGATAAAAAAATCCTAACTTTGAACCAAAAAAAAATTTTTTTCCCAATTTGCCTGCCAAGGGCACTTAGTTTGGAATATCAAGTAAATCTCTACATCCGTTCCCCAATCTTGTGCCAAACTCATCACAAAATTATATCATCTAATTGATAATCTTAAGGCAGTTTTCAAACTTAAGGGGTCCTGGGCTTCTTCTGGTTTGCTGTTACAGTATTAGAATGTAGAGATCCTATCCTTAATTCTGGACAAGAGGATCAGGACAACAAATGCCTGATTTATTCGAAACATTAAAGTGCATCCCAATCCTTAATTCTAAACAAAAAGAATCATGACAGCAAATTCCTGATTTATTTGGAACACGGAAGAGCATCCCAATCCTAAATTCTAAACAAATGAATCATGACAACAAATTCCTGATTTAACTGGGAACAGGGAAGAGCATCTGCCAGAAAGCAGAAATCCTTGATTGTGCCAGCTGACTGAAGCCATGGGGGAAAGCAACCAGTCTGTCAGCAAGAAACAACATTTCAGTTGATCAATAAGGAAGTAACAACTAGCTGCGAGTAATTACTAACTACCAGTCATAAGTAAATTAATTGGTGCAAGAGTGACCAATATTCACACATACACAATTCTGTATTTTGAACTTAATTATTCTAGATATCATATACGATAGAAACTGAAGAAAAAAGTATTAAATGTCAACCCTACAACCTCGGACCCCAATGGGAATATTTTATGAAGTACTTTGAAAATGAGTGAGTGAGTATGGTTTTAGGCCGCTTTTAGCAATATTCCAGCAATATCACAGCGGGGGACACCAGAAATGGGCTTCACACATTGTACCCATGTCGGGAATCGAACCCGGGTCTTCGGCGTGACGAGCGAACGCTTTAACCACTAGGCTACCCGACCGCCCCACTTTGAAAATGAAATAATGACACCATTCAAACCGTTTTATGAAAAAAGCACCTACCTGTAGCAGTAGAGGTTTGAGAGGCAGGGCTGACTAGCCTCACGTAATGAAACTTGCTGCCGGGGACTTGTATTTGCTGTACATTGCTTGCCCCTCGGATCTGCATGGGGCGAAACACGGGCTGAGCAGGGGCAAGCTGTGGATGACTCTTCGTGGACACCGATTGAGCCAGTACATTAGTCTTCTAGCAATGAAGCAGAAAGCACAATCACATTATGCACCTGACAAATGTAATTCACACAAGTCTTTCCACTGAGTGGCACATGAAAATCATTTCCATCACACAAAACTAATTGAATCAAGAAACACATCCCAACTGAAATCAAATATGTTATGTGGCAGTACATACTAAAGTTTATTTCTGATGGTTGTTAGTAGCAGCTTTAGGTGCTTGTAAAATAGAGTGACCTCCCTTAGTTGTTCACAGTCCAAGCTCTGCCCCATTGCTTGACACCTCAGTTACACTCCCTGTATGAAGAGCTCAGATGTGAGGAGTTTGTTTACAGTTGTCGATTCACTACCTCATTTGAGATACTTCACGAGGTAAGACTACCAGTTTCTGGCAGGCTGGTTGTACCTATATAAGAGCGAGATGAGGGCAATCGGACACCTTCTACGATCTGACTTTCGTCTTATCTACCTGCCCAGTGCAGACGGGATATCTCTCGGAAAACATTGACTTGTTATCATTTCCAACACGGTCTCCTGGATTCAAGTCACACAAAACATTCAACAGTGTGTGTGTGCCCCCCAAAACTATCTTAACCATATTGTGGTGCCCTCTGGTTGAAACTTTTTGGGTCAAATTGTCTCAACACAGATGTAGGAATGATGACAAAAGGTGAAGTTCCAATGATGATGTATTATTTCCAGATAATTTTAAGACTTATGTGAGGCAAGGCAATTCAGCATAAAATTAAAGTATGATGTTTAAATTACACCCCTGCCCGACAGTCTGAGACGGTCTACTTTGCTGACAGACGGTCAGTTTTCAAAAGTTGCACGCCCGATGGTCAAGCTATCATTGTATCCCTTAATTTCCTAACATTCTAGTTTTAATATAGTGTAACAGGTAAATTAACTGTAAACATTAAACACATTATTCAGTCACCTCTGCGTAGGATGATTATCAAGTTTCTGTCCAAATACTGTTCTTACGTTTACCATTTTGTTACTTTTGTTCGATAGTCTAGAAAGTTCTGGAGTGGTAACATATTATCTGGTCTGTTAACTTTGCAAAGTTGCCAGTGGGGTTGTCTGACTGTTTTAATATGAGTTGTTTTGAGCGAATAGGTGTGAGATTACTGTGGCATTGCCTGAGAGCTTGAGTTTTGTTGAAAAAGTGTGAGTCTAATGCCAAATGTACGAGAGGTTTGTTTGTTGTTTAACGCCGCACTCAGCAGTATTCCAGCTATATGACGGCGGTCTGTAAAATAATCGAGTCTGGACCAGACAATCCAGTGATTGACATCATGAGCATCTATCCATGCAATTGGGATCGGAGACATGTATCAACCAAGTCAGCGAGGCTGACCACCCGATCCCGTTAGTCGCCTTTTACGACAAGCATAGTCGCCTTTTACGGCAAGAATGGGTTGCTGAAGACCTATTCTACCCCAGAATCTTCATGGGTCATACGAGAGGTAATAAATATAAAACAAATATTACATCTGACTTATACATCTATTAGCAACTGAAATTACACTAGAAAGACATGAAAGAAAATGATAAATACTACATTTCGGATATTTCACATAATTTATAAAGATAAACTTTAGCAGAAGAGAATTTGCTCTAAATATCTGCTTCTCATGTCTCTTTATTTCCACTAAACACAGTGAGTGAGTGAATGAGTTGGGTTTAACGCCTCTTTTAACAGTATTCCAGTGTTTAGATCATCTCCATTCTACCAGGACAAAAAAGAAAGAAGAGAGAAGTCTTTGCCAACAGCAAGGGTGATGAGTGATGTGGCTTCAGTTGAGTTAAATATATTTTGGTAGGTTGAATGGACAAACCTGGTTGAACAATGTTTACTTTAATCTGCATGTTTGTTTCATATACCAAAACAATAATTTACACCATTATACTTCAACCACTTCAATGAGAGACAAACACAAAAATCCAGCAGGAGATAGTCCTCCCTGGAGAATATGAAAGGTCCCTTGCAAACTTGAGTTCTAAAGTACACAGTACACACATTATGATATCATATTCTAGTGACAGGAAGTCCAAGCATTGTCACGACATGAAAGGTGTGATATTGCGGTATGTTTTAGCACAGTGACGAAATTCAAATATAGGTATCATTGATGTCATTCCAAGTCATTGTTTCAGTTTCAGAACAGATTATATTGCAATACTTGCTCTAAATACTCCAGGACACTAAATACTCAGCAACCTTTATGAAGAAAAATCAATATTCTGAATTTCCAACCAGATCTATTTGCATCTATAAAATATTTGCTATGTGGTGATGGTGTTATCGCCAACAACATGGTCTAACATATATATCCGATACCACTGGGGGCCAATCAAAATGTAGAATTCTAACACGACTTGGTAGAATCACTATTTGTTCGGGTACTGAATATGTTGAAAACGGCCTCCTTTCTATATCTGCCTGGTCCTTGAACAATATAAAACTGATCAGTTAGCCTGGTCCTAAGAATAGATGTGATCTGTTGGTAAGGAGTTATCACTAGACCAGAATTGTCAACATGTCAGAATTGTTATGTCAATAGCCTCTTCCCCTCTTGACCCACTTTACTGTTAAGTCATGCATTCAGCCAGTAGGTTACATTCAGGATGTTGATCTCAGTGTACGTACACAGTAAATGGAGTGGTTTGAATCAAGAACAAACACTGGTTGAATGAGTTTGCTTATCTAATGCACTGCTTTCAAAATTCATTTTCACTAGTGGAGATTCCGAGTAAGAATATTTCAATATACGAGGGGTGTTCATTAAAGATTTCCCCTAAACCACTTAGGGTTATCATATTTGGTTGAAATTACACATGTGTAATGATACATGTATCTATGGGTTATGTCTGAATTTGCAGCACCGAACTATTAATCTTACCACTTTTACAGGTGTTATGATCGAGTAGGGTGTGACAATGGAGCCAGTAGAATACTGAGCAGTGATTAGGTTTTTATATTTGAAAGGTCGCACACCAAAAGAAACTTTCGATGAAATGAAAGCAACTTATGGGGAAGATGCCCCATCATATGACGTTGTTAAACACTGGCATCGCCAGTTCAAGTGTGGTCGGAAACAGCTGCCATTCCTGGCCGCCCCCATTCAGCCATTGATGAGGACACTATCCATCAAGTGGAGACTGCCATTTTGGCAGACTGACGTATAACTGTTCACCAGTTAGCACAAGATGTCAAGATCAGTGTAGGGTCTGTGGAAAAAATCATCCATGACAATTTGAACATGCATAAGGTGTCTGCACGATGGATTCCCAGGTTGCTCACACCTTTCCAAAAGCAGGAACGAGTCAATTGCTCAAAGAATCTTTTGGACATGTGCCAAAAAAACCAGGCAAACTTTTTTGACAGACTTATCACACAGGATGAAACATGGGTCCATCACTATGATCCTGAGACTAAAGTTCAGTCGATGCAATGGAAGCATGTGGAGTCACCACCCCCAAAGAAGGCACATGTCCAACCCTCTGCAGGCAAGGTCATGCTCACGATGTTTTGGGACCAGCACGGAGTAGTGATGATGGATTTCTTGGCAAAGGGTACCACAATTACAAAGGCTTATTATGCTTCACTGCTGCGGAAATTGGGGGACGCTATCAAGCTTAAGAGGCGCGGCATGCTGACCAAGGGTGTCCGTCTCCTGCAAGACAATGCTCCAGTACACAACTCTCATGTTGCCCAGACAGAAGCACGGTCCTGTGGCTATGAAATCCTTCCACATCCTCCTTACTCTCCTGACCTTGCACCAACTGACTTCCACCGCTTTCCAACCATGAAGTCATTTTTGAAGGGAAAACGTTTCACAGATGATGAAATACTGATTTCTGAAGTCAAGTCCTGGTTTGAGACGCAAAATGAGGGCTTTTACAAGCAAGGTCTCCATAGTTGCATAAAACGATGGGAGAAGTGTGTTACTCTTGGTGGTTCCTATGTTGAGAAAGCCTTATACCTGTGCCGAGTTTCATTCCCGAGGTCCATCAGAAGTGGGTCAGGGGAAATCTTTAATGAACACCCCTCGTAGGTCCCAGCAATCAGAAAGTAAATTAGCTCATAATTGTACGCATGCTGAAAAAGCTTCATTGGGTATTTACGCGTGCTGTTTTTATACATTTGAATTTTTCATTTAACGCATACGTTTCTGCACGCAAGATAATTGAAAGTAATTGGGTTTTGGATATTTTGGGGGAAGTATTTTACGCAGATATGCAGCTTATCTGTAGCTCTGAAATTCCAGCCCATTTACCTTAACTATTATCACAACATATCACTTACACAAGGTCAATATGCAACTTCAGCCACTAGTTCATAGCTAGAGTAACACAATTCTGTGCTGTCTCTGAATATCAGCTAATAAAACATCATATATCGCTCAAATGTACCAAAAATGACGCTAAGAGCCAAGTTTGGGCTAGTAGGCTCCTTGTATGCGTGCAATTGTATCTGCTTGTAAATGAACACAAGAATAGTCTTCCATGGTAAATGGGTTGAAACAATACTACTGGCATTGTAGCTCTCCTGGAAATGTAGTCAAAAGTTTAAAATATTGACAAAGAAAGCCACTCAGTAAACGCATTGTCAGCATTGACTAAGGGTTGGACGATACACCAACTGTGCGATCCGATACGTATCACGATACCTAGCTCACTTATCTGTGGTGCGAAACCATCATTTTCATAGACAAGATTGCCAAATACCTGGCACACTACTGATTAACAGTTGGCAGTGTCAGGTATGGCACAATGGATAAAAATATTTAAGTTTTCACAAATTTCCTTCATTTAAACTAGTAATTAGTGTTTGGTAAGAATCGAAACTTTTTACTTAGTGTGCGACTGTGATCGATACTTGTATCACAAAGTAAAAAATCATGATCCACTAAAATGTGACACTAAAATCAATGAATTTGAACATTCCTTTCAGATAAGAATTTTACAGTGATTTTGAGAAAATACAACATGTACAAGAGCATG